CCTACCACACACACAATAAAGGTGTGGAAGATGATGGTGAGGAGAAAGTTGGCATGATCCATCAACCCTAGGTAGGAAAGATCATCCACCCAAAAGGGACCTATAATCTGATATTTTTTAAAAAAAAATAGGAGGAGTCAAGGTTCTGGTGATTTTTCCCAGGGTATAATGGATGTATTTCTGTTAATTGCTGATGCATAACAAATCACCCCAAAACTTGGTGGTTTAAAACAATAATCATAAATTTGGAGATTGGCTAGGGGTTTCCTCACCTGGGCTCACTCAAAAAGCTTCATTCAGCTGGAGAGTTGTCTGGGCTAGAAGATTCAAGTAGCCCACTATATGGCATGCGGTGAAGCCATAGGCAAGGCGACCTCAATTATTCTCACTGTGAATTCCATTCCTCTGCTAGGCTAGGCCAGCTTCCTTACATGACAGCCTCAGGATAGCATTCCAATAGCGTGAGGGTGGAGCTGCAGGGCTTCTGGAAGCCCCGACTCTGGAACTCACACAACATCACCACCACATTCTTTGGGATTGGGCCACACAGTCACAAGGCTAGCTCAAATTCAAGATGAAGGGAAATAGATTCCATCTCCTGATGAGAGTTGCTGTCGTGACCACATTTCACCTAGCACAGGCTGTGAAGATACAGGAGTTTTTACTTTGAGAGAAGGATTTTGAAACACACGATTTCCAAGGTAAAATGTTTCTGGCTGACCGTATCCAGCACGTGACCAAAAGTATGCAGGGCTCAAGTAGTGTGTGCTGAACGTCATTGGTGCCAAAGAGGTGGAGGGTCTGTGAGGCTAGAGTGTCAGATGCATCCATCACCCTGTGGACATAGCAGGAAGGCTGACTTGGTGGTGACAGGGAGCAGGGACCTGAAGTCCAGAAGATGACAGTAATCGTGGCGTGGGCATGTGGGGTGATTGGACAGCCACAGTCTCTAAGCAGCCGGTGGATGGTGGCCCCAGCCCCCAGGGGGCAGCCACCCTACGCCACCTCACCAAGTCCTCACTTCCCACCCACACCCCCACATTGTCTTGTTCACTTGCCAATCTTAAATAAATGTACCACTTCTGACGTCCAGAATGTGCTGATACATTCTTCAGCACTTAATGGTCAGCATCCATGTCCTGAGGATTCAGTGAAAGTATGAAATGATGTTCATGTCAGTTTTGAGTAAGATTACAAAGTTGCCATAGTAACAGGTTACCAATGTCAGTCCTTTCTGACTTTTTCTTTTATTATTTTCTTTGTCTCCTCAGATAGATACCTAAAGACAAATGCGTATCCACCATAGTGGTGAAATTTAGTAACAGTGTTAAATGAATAATATGTATTGCTCTCATTCTAGGTAAATAAAAATCAGAAACCAGATAATCATTAAGCAGATGGTCCTCAGAGCTCATTCAACCATAAGAGTGCTAGATATGAATAAATTAGAGCCCATAACAAGTAAAGAAGGACAAAATTGCATACTTTTATAATTATCATAATTTCATGTTTGTTTATGTGTAGCAGATAATCAGTTCACAATATACGTGTAGATGTATTTTTAGATTACCACAGAATAAAATCTCTATCCCAAAGTCGAGATTTTTCAGCTTTTGGAAATCCAGAAAACCCTTCCTGGAACTTCCATGTCTAAAGTGGGTGAACTGGGCTACGAGTGTTGAATTCAGCCCTTTTATTTCCCTTACTTGTCGTCCCTTTTCTGCAAGGCTCAGCACCTTTGGCAGCCACTTCGGTTTTGAGCCGATTGCTAAAGATTAGAGGATCCACGGATGTTATTCTCACCTTTGACACGCAAGTTCTTTTTAGGACTACTCATGAGATGTGTCTATAAATAAGTAATGATATTTTTGTAATCATAGTCTTCATATCAAACTGAAGGCTTTTATCCTCTTCAAAGTAGTCTTCTGTGAAAGCTACACAGCTATGCCACCATTGCTGCCATGATTTAAATTATTTGGGGGATTCTTTTGGGAGGCTGCTTTCCAAGGTAGATTGCAAGCCAACAAGAAAACCAACCATACATTTTTTTGTGTGTCTATTTCCAAACATGCCCCCAAGTTTTAAGGACTGGCTCCCTATGACTTTTATCTACCTAAAAAGATAAAATTCACTTCCAAAAGAGAAGGGTTTTCAGGGGATCCCTGGGTGGCTCAGCGGTTTAGAGCCTGCCTTCGGGCCATGGCATGATCCTGGAGTCCTGGGATCGAGTCCCACATCAGGCTCCCTGTATGGAGCCTGCTTCTCCCTTTGCCTGTGTCTCTGCCTCTCTCTCTGTGTGTGTCTTTTGTGAATAAACAAATAAAATCTTAAAAAAATAAAAAATTAAAATTAAAATTAAAAAAAAAGAGAGAGAAGGGTTTTCCACCACTTAGGACAATCAAAATACTCCACCTCCAGAGTTGTGGGGCTGTAAACAGATCCTGTTTTTCTGACACAGGGTACCCCATAGTAGTATCACCAAAAACATATCAAGTTTCTTATCAATAACAAGTGTTACCATGTTTATTCTAGAACCGAGAAATACCCTAGAAAAATATTTTTAACCTACCTTCCCAACTGCATTGTCATTTAGCTAACAACGTCCAACTCCCACCTAGAACTTTTTCTGCCTCCTTTGCATAACATCAGCTATGCTCCATCTTGTACTAAACATTCTTTGTTTTTCAATGAATTACTCTTTAATTGCTCTACTAAAAATATATCCTTTCTTAATAGATGTCTGTGGTTATTAGGTTTATGATTTTGCATCTAATTCTGGTTTTTCACCTGAACTCATTTTTGTTGTCAATTCAAAGTGTTTGCCTTCACCCTCATGATTGGCATCTTTGGGGTCATCCTTATGTCCGGTACATCAGTTCACCTAGCCCTCACTACTTGAGGAGACTGGTACTAGAATTCCCATTTTACAGATGAGGAAGCTGAGGCTAAATATGCAAATATCTTGCCCAATGCCAAAGGGCTGGAAAATGGGGAGACCAGGATTCAAACCCACATCCCCTGTAAGGCAGGGATTTCTCAACCTCAGCGCTATGTCATTTGGGGCCAGATTATTCTTTGTCATGGTGGCTGTCCCTTGTATTGTAGTGTGTTTCAAAGCATCTCTGGCCTGTACCCACTAGAAGCCAGTAGCACTCCTCCAACCCCATTGTGACAACCAGACTTTGCTAAATGTTCTCTGGCAGATATTTAAGGGCCATTGATCTAATGCCAAAGTCAGGCTTAATTCCACATTATATGATGAAATCAGGAACTAGTAATCCACAGGCCAGATTTTGAAGAGATCAATTTGAGGAGTCTTCTCACTTCACCTGGATGATTATCAGAATTGAAGGTTTTTTTTCTTAAGCCTCTTTCTCCACCCAGCACCTTTAGAGTCTGCATTTGCTAGGTGGGGAACAGGTATCTATTTTAAGCCTCTCTGCAGCATTCGAACCACAGACCAGATCCTAACCTCACCACACATCTGTTCTTTGAATCATTTCACTCAATTCTTGCCAAATAGTCTCTAGCCTCAGGTTTAACACCTCCTGTGATGGTGTTACAGGAGACAATCTTGTGTTCAGGTGGTCCTAACTGGGAAAAAGCACTCATTCTATTTAATAATCTTCTTTCTGTCTCTCTCTGTATACTCTTTAATCTCATATTACCCAAATTATCAGTTTTCTCAAATCAGGTGATTTAAACACTTTCTGAATCCCAGTTATGTATTAAGCCCTACTCTGGACAGTTTCTTGACCATTATGGCCGTTAAAATCACTATCAACTTGTTAAAAGTGACCATCCAGGGGTGCCTGGGTAGCTCAGTCAGTTAAGCTTCTGACTCTTGATGTCAGCTCAGGTCATGATCTCAGGGTCCTGAGATCAAGTCCCCCATTGGGCTCCACACTCAGCAGGGAGTCTGCTTCTCTCCCTCTGCCCCTACCCTGCTCACACACAAGCTCTTTGTCTCTCTCTAAAATAATAAATAAATCTTTTAGAAAACTGACCATCTAACCCGTTTTCTTCGTTTAACAATAGACTTCCTTGAAATAGCAATTATAATTCATTAAAATCTTAAAAGTCTTACATGGTTGGTCACCCATCCAGCTGCTGCGGGGAAGCACTCTGCTTTGCATTTCTGGAGGTCACTGCCCTTGGGTGGGGTCAGGGAAGGGGGGGCAGACAGTACTGGCAGCAGCTTTCTCTCTTCCTCTTGACCCTTCATTCAAACCCTCTTAAACCTTTTTTTGATGGTTTCAGGAGGATTCCGAACTAGCTTCCCATCCCAGTAAAATCATTCTTTGCCATATGCCCCAGACTTCTTGATGAAAACACAGAGAGAAAGGGAATTCAAAAATATATTGCTTTATGGTGCCCCACTTGAGGATACTGTTTTTATGAATTTGTTTAATAAAAATAGATGAAGAAATACAAATTCATTTTATGAATGTATCAAAATTCAGTTTTACAGTTTACGCTTCTTTAAAGCCAAGTAATCCTTTCTGCTTGCACTTTGGATCCTCCTCTAAGTCACCATGATAGTGTAGAACCTACAGTAAACTGCTTTTCAATGGGAGATACTGAGTCAGTGGAAGACTGTGATGGTGTGGATGCTAATATTGTCAGGGACGCTAATATTGCTTACGCCCCAATGTCTAAGTTAAACCTGCAGGTGACCGGTCTCTTTAGTGGGTCAACACGAGTAGCTAGTGAGCTCTAAATGTGTGCCAGCAGTCCTGACTTGCCTGGATGGATTTTCAGTAGGCAGGTTGTGTTTAGAGAAAACCAAGGAGAAAATAACATGTTAACCGGAATAAACCGTTTGGGGTCAAAATAACAGTCCGGCGATGTTTTTGTACTTGTGTGAGGCATAAATAGAAAACTTGACTTTGAATTAGGTTTCATATGAAATTCCAAATTTCTTGCTTATGCTTGGGTACCTCCAAAGAAGGGCCTGGACCCCTTCCATCCTTGATTGCTCTGTCGCTCTCTTCTTACAGAGTTTTATAAATGGACACTGACATGGACTACGAAAGACCGAACGTTGAAACCATCAAGTGTGTGGTCGTGGGAGACAACGCCGTGGGGAAGACACGCTTAATCTGTGCCAGAGCGTGTAATACGACGCTAACGCAGTATCAGCTGCTGGCTACCCATGTGCCTACCGTGTGGGCGATTGACCAGTACCGAGTGTGCCAGGAGGTAAGATGGGCTGAGTTTCACTTCCAAGGGGACATCACTGCTATTGCCAGTCTGATTTCAAAAGGGGGTAGGGGTGATTTGTGCCCACAAAATGAAGCTGGTGTTTTCACTGCCACAAGAGAAAACAAAAGCAAAATGCACACTTGGGAGGAGGGGTGCAGTGTCCTGAATGAGGAGGGTTTGAGTCATGTGATTCCAGGAAGAGAATTAGGACTTAGCTCAGGTCCTGTTAGAGGGAAGGGGAAAACTAAATGCATGTGGAACAAGTGAGGTTGAAGGTGCTGAGTGTCTTTTTCCTGAGGAGCCTCTGAATGTCCCTGAGCAGGAATGCCCTGTCTCTCCTGCAGGTCCTGGAGCGTTCCCGGGATGTTGTTGATGAAGTGAGCGTCTCTCTCAGGCTTTGGGACACTTTTGGAGATCATCACAAAGACAGGCGTTTTGCATATGGCAGGTAAACCAAGACCAGTTCAGTGCAGTTAAGCTTGAGTACAATTTCCTTTCCAAAACCGGCAGCTGCTTCATAATCAACAAAAGAAAGTCCCATCATATGGCCTTGAAACGTGTTGGGTTCTGCAGCTGCGTTTAAGAAAAAAAAGGGGAAATAATGGTACTTTCTGATGTCAAAAAAAGCAGTCTGCCTTGACACTAGGTCCCTCCCAGGAAGTCCCTCCTTTAAAACAACACTGTTAGTTAACTTGGGAAGATTTTGGAGAATTCTGGTGTGCTCTCTAGCCTGGGCTGCTTTGATTGCTGTTTTCCTGAATGGTACTTTACGTTTTGCTAGAATGTTTTAAGTTATTTTAGCACTTGCCCACTCCACTTCAGAAGGTCTCTTTGGTCTTTTCATGACCATATTAGCAGAGTATGATGTTATTTGCTTTGGGCTTTGTTATCTGAAAAGTCTATTATTTTTATTTGAAGGTCGTTTTTAAAAAGAAAGAAAAATATCTCTGAAATCCTTCATGAGGCACATTTCCAAAATGAACCGAAGTGCTAATGTCTATTTTACATGAAAAATCAAGTAAAAACCCAGAAGAAGGAAAAATCCGGTGAAATCCCTGTAGTAAATCTAGAAGGACACCGATATGCTTAGGAACATGTCAAAGTGCCTTAAAATATTTAGCAACTTCTTTTTGTCACCGTAACTTAAGATCTCTTTTGGTGAATGTATTATAAGCTATCAAAATCCAGATAAGGAGGAGATGTTCTTACCCCTTAATTGTAAATGAACACATTTCATCTTAAGTTTAGATTTAGATGTCATGGATAAGTTGCCCCCTGTTAACATCGAATGTCATGCTGCCGCACAGGATTGGATTAGATACTCCATCCCATGAGTTCCTCCTCCATACTGAGATAAGCATTTCTAAAGGTACCTCTCTTTCTTCAAGGTGGTAGCTCTCTGAGGGCTCTGAATGGACTTTTATTGGCATTTGTCCACATGGTCTAAAATACGGCATAAACTTGAGGAAAGGGTTTGTCCCATTCCTGAGAAGTTATTCACTGAAAGAATCTGCCATTTAGACCAGTTTGTTCATGGGGACTCAGAGAGAGGCATATGACAAGTAAACATTGCTTTTAATGTCCCCTTGGTAATGAGGATTTTGAGGCTAATTAATATACAGCGTTGTAGATATTTTTCTTCTCCTCGAACTTCCTGTTTTATCATTTATTTTCTTTCTGTGGTGTTCTTGATTCTTCTGTTTGATGCTATTTTTATTTTTTTCTTTTACCCTATTATTCCACATTTACCCAAAATTGTGATAAAGTACCATGTATGTAAGTACCATGCAGTCGGATTTGTAACATCTACGGTTGTAAGAAAGCGTCATAAAATGATGACTTCAAGCAAAGTAAGGACGGATGCAATAGATTTCTGTGGACATTTTGTATCCTCACTTTTAAAAAGCTCTCTGAAAACAATGGACCTGGTGGTGAACTTACTGAGGTGTTTGGATTTAACAGCTACGGACTGTGTAACCAGCTCAGAGGCTTGTTGCCACTTGAATTTTATGCAGTTAAGAGAACGGGTTTTCACTTGGCCCCATCATGTAACTCTTATCTTTTGGTTATATAAGGGCTGCTCCATTGTTTGAGATTCCTGCTTGGGACTGATTTAATGGCACGATGGCCTGCATAGATCTCACGTTGACAGGCACCTCCACTAGGCCTCGTCCAGCCAGCTCCCTGATGTATCTGGAGTCATTTTACAACGTGGCATGCCTGTGTTTGTTCACTCCCAACAAAAATAAGCTGCTCGTTCATGCGACTCCATCAGTTCAACCTGCATTGTTCTGCTCTCCTGTCTGTAGGGTTTGGTTCTATCAGCTCTAACCTGTTCCCCTTTTGATGGAAACAGGATGCGTTTTTCAAGCCAAGTTCGATTCTCCTTGTGACACAGAGGGGCTTCAGGAAACACTCCTGTGTTTCTGGTTGAGCTCTCTCCATGGGCCTCAGTTTCTGTGCTTGTTTGTACCTTGTGTTTCCTCTGTCTTCTCTGGTTCTCCACAGCCTGCAGGCGTCCTGCCACAGACCCCACCACGGGTCAAGAACAGAAACCAGAGCCGTTGTCTCTCAGCCTCCAGCATCTTTCTGTAACACTAAATATGTAATTACACACTGATGTAGCACCAAGAAATTACATTTTGTAGAAGAGTCTGATCATAAAAGGAGTTCCTTTTACTTGGTATAGCGTGCTGGCCACTGCATTTCACTGCTTTGCAAGTGCTGGTTAACTTCTTTGTGACTTCCATTTTTAGCTTTGTACCATTTGTGAAGGAAAAAAATCCTAATTACATTTTTGACAGTTTGGTTTGCAAACCTGCTTTTGATTAATGTTTTTACTGCATTTGATGTGAATGACAAGTCAGTAGGACATGGTATATTACTTAGACCTGGAAATGTAGGAAATGTATTTGGAATCTCTTTAAAATAATTCCTTTGATTCTTGTGATGACAGTGATAGAAACCAGAGTCTTAGGAAGATGCCTAAGACCTTGTCTTCAGCGTCCTCTGCTTCTTAGCACCAGGGTAGTTACTAAGGTGTCCCCTCAAACATCCTCTGGAATGGACAGGCTCTACTTGGCAGCATGGATCCTGTGGGCCAACATGGTGTTGGTCTGCCTACCTGAATTTGTAACTATCCTAGCATGATATAACTATAAGCCGAAGGGCATTATTTTTTCAACCCATTTTTTTAACCAACCAGAATAATAGCTCCAATTTATCAAAGGCTTACATGTGCCAGTCAAAATATTAGGTGCTTTGCCAACATTATTTCAGTTAATCCTTTCAGGAACCCTAGAAGGCAGAGATTATCTCCAGCTACAGCTGAGGACAGAGTTGAGTTCTTTTACTACCATAACTTCTCCAAGAGTGAGTTTCAGAGGCAGAGTCAAACCCACCTCTGCCTGACTCCTGGCTCCCACCTGTTCTTCTGTGCCAAGCTCCCTCAACCTCACTTGACACAGAGGCAGCTGGAACCCACCCCCGCATCGATGAGCCGGGTGTCTCTTTGCTCTTCCGTATTTGTGCAAAGGCTTAAAAGAGATCTCACAAGGTCACCTGGTTGACCCCTTTGCTTCAGGAAGGGAAATCATCCATCCGAGGAAAAACATTGAGCATAGGAGTCCTTCTATTATTCAGTGGAGAGAAGAGGTAGCAGAGCAGTGTGAGCATCCTAACACTTAACACATCTGGCATCTGTCAAACCCTCTCTTGCCTGAAGTGAATGACTCTAATTCCTTCTAACTTTCCTTCCCACCACCTACTTTCTGCCCACTTTGGATGAACCTTTGAAGCTCTTTTCTGGGTCTTTTAAAATATCAAGAACAAAACTGTACCTAGTAACCGTGACTGTGATTAACTGCTCTTTTTTGGCAAGAAGACTGCCTCTTTTTAAAGGGCTATGGCTCCAGATATTTTTCCCCAGGCCCATTATAAGAATGAAATGTTTGAGGCTACATACCTGGCACGGAGAATGCAGACAGAGAGGATGGGCTCTGCTTCCCACAGGACATCTGGGCCCTCTGCCCCTCTCCTATAGTCACACCACACATAAATAACTACAAATTTCGTTGTTTCCTTGAAAACCTCCACCGTTGATCTGTCTCCGGATCAGATAACCTTCAAATACGTCATACAGCCTACAGTGCTAGAGGTAGTGATAACAGCTACAGTTTGATCAAGGCTTCCTATGAGCCAGGCCTGTGCCCGATGCTCTACCATTTCATTCTTGTGGTGACCCTGCAAAGTAGCCTCATTCACATTTGAGCAAACAGGCGCAGAAAGGGGCCAAGGTCAGGCAGCTAGGAAAGACTAGAAGTGAACTTTTCCTTTAGTTCTCTGACTCCAGAGCCCATAACTTCCCTTTCTACCATGCTGTTATGGCTGGAAATGATGACTGATGACAAACTTACCTTGAATTTATTCCTGGTCCAGTCTGATTCTTACGCTGTTCTATGTGGACAGTGAAGACCAGCATTCCCCATCTGTCACCAGCTCTTGTGTGCCATTGTGGCCCTTAAGTTCTTTAATAAATAACAAATGGCTTCATTCTTTAGCTAAACACAAGTGCTTGACTTTCAGTAAACACGATACATCCAAGTGAACTTTTTGAAAGTGAGTGGGAGCCATGAGTACTCTCCATGGCATGCTTTCCCCTAAAACATTTAACTAAAGTCTCTGGAACCTTACCCTCATACCCCACCGTTTCTAGACATATTTTCTGTTCAGTTGGAACTCATTTATTAATACAGATTATTCTTCCACATTGATTTTTCTCAAATGTTGTTAGCTCCTATGGGAGGTACAGTACATGTTTTAAATGATAACATTAATCAGAGCTATGGTTTCTGTGTGTCTGTTTAGGTGAGATAGGTCTAGTTTCATGTTGAAGGCACATGTAATCAGATATACCACGAATACATTCCATTTTGAATGGTCGGTTGAGGCTCTTTTAAAAATTCACGACTGTGAGCGACCAGTGTTTTGTCTTTGTCTAGGATTGTCTGTACTTGTGGTTAATGGAAAGGGGAAAAGTAGGAAGCATCTAATGGGTCTACATAGAGTGCTTTGAATTAGCTCTTCTTGTCCACAGCACGTTATAAACGCTGGGCCAGAAGTAACATTCTAATGATGATTTCAGGACAGCAAAAAGCCTGTTGGACGGGGAAATCTATCAAGCAGAGGTGGGCCTGGGCCAAGACTAGGCTGAGGCAACGAGCTCTCACCTTGGACATAAAATAAAAATAGTAATAACTCTTAAAAGATAGGATCACTGATTTTTTCTTTCAAGTTCAGTATGGCTCAGCATGGCACTGTGACTGGTCCTGACTTTATTTAAAATTTTGACATTTTGTTCACAGATTTTTTTTTTTGCCTTATTCATTCTTTGAAAAATAAAGTAGGCATCTGGTTTGCAATTTTTTGGCACCTCGCTGAATTTTGCAT